CGCCGGCGCGGGCGATGGGCCCGACCGCCGGCGCGGGAGACAGGACGACTTCAGGCTTCTTTTCTGCTGCAGTGTTTTAGAGCTCAATCTTTCTTGCCAGTGATCCCTGGACTGTGAGAATCAGCGAATGTTCCCTAGAATAGGCTTGTGATTGGTAGTCATTAGTACCTGACAGCAACCGTTCCGAGATTTCAAAACCCGAATAGTCAGTTATTTTCTTTCCGTGTTCTTTGGTTTTGGAGACCCAATTGGCCCTTCCAGGCTGTGTGTAGCTGTATCCGACCCGAACCTTGAAGATCCTGACAAAGTGAGCAAATGCTGCAAGAAACGACTTCGGCCTCTTTGCAAGTTTTCACCAGGTCCTATCAGCAGGCCCCGGTTTTACTTCGGTGTTGCATCCTCTATGCTTGTGTCCTCATGTGTTCTAAAAGATGAAGATTTATATATTGTCTTTCATAAGCCTATATCCCACAGACGCCTTGGGTAAATGAACGTTTTCTGCTTTGCAAATTTCTCAACACTTGCCCCTGTAAGAAGACCAAATAGGTGCTTACACCACTGTATCTCCTTCGCGGTTTCCTTCCTTCCTTTCCTTGCGAGGGCGGTTTTGGGGCCAGCACGGTGCCGGTCTAGAATACTTCGCCTTCTCCATTTTGCCACTCTTTTCCGTTCATGGTGCCACTATAGCCGTGGCTAAAGCTTGCAGCTTGGCCAGGACCAAGCGGTTGTGACACCTTATCACTCTCACTTCCAGGGTTTGATCCGGTCTTGAAAAGCAAGTCCAGTCCGTGGTTAGCAAGCCGGCCCTCTAGACACAGCGGCAGCCAAAGCTATGAAAAAGTCCCAATCTTTAAGCCATGCTCCGTGAGATGCATGGTTGTGGCACAGGCGGCCTTATGTTGAGTCCAGCAGCATAGCGCTAGAGCTTTGCACTTTGATCACCTGTGTTCCTCCAGAAACCGTTCCCCCAGCATGGTTCTGATCTGCTGATAGCAAGCTTGGGATATGTTTCTTGTGTGGCCCCTAGGTCCAGCCTTCTGGTGAGGCTCTGTCTGGGACTGCCTTCTCCTCCGTTCTGTCCTTCCTCCAGGTACCCAGGGCAAGACTGCAGGCACTTTCTTGACTCGCTGGTGTTTATTTGGCTTGGCTGTCAGCACCCTTTGGAGTATTTGAAGTTTTCAACTCTATAACTTAGGAAGCACTGGTTAGATTAGTATTCCTGAGTGAGTTCAGATTACATTTCCTCCTAAGTTATCACACTCAGGAGCACTATAGATCCTGGGACATCCCATGGATGGGTGAAACTACCCAACATTCATTGGCTTTAAGGCACATCTTCTGCACCACTCATGTGGGATAGGGGAGACTTATGGATGACCCCTGAATAAATCTATTGATGAGAAAATAAAAGTTTTCCAGGTGTGGTGGTACATGCCTTTTATCCCAGCACTCAGAGGGCAGAAGCAGATGGATCTCTATGAGTTCAAGTCCAGCCTTGTCTACAAAGTGAGTTCCAGAATATCCAGGGCTGTTACACAGAGGAAGCCAGTCTCAAAAAACCTAAAACAGAAAAAGAAATCACAAATAACAAATCAAATTAGTTAATAAAAAGATCCTAGGTACCTTTTGACCTTGTGAAAACTCATAAAATTTATAAGTAACCATTTATAATACTTACAAATCCTCATAAATTTGGGGACCCATGAAACGAGTTTCACAAAACCTCAAAATGAATTGAGGACATTAGGTCACCATCCTGAAGAGAAATAAAGTAGGAAGATGTGAGGTATTTGGATACTTTATGGAAAGTACAGTTTCTTTACTTTCTGCCATACTGTTTTGGCACAGGCCTTTAGCCATAGCATTCAGGAGGCTGAGGCTCATGGATCTCAACCCCATCTTTTAAAGCAGATTGTTTAAAAACAGATTTTAAATGTTATTTCCTTTTTAAATTTTCTATGGTAAAAAACATTGTCTTTATGGACTATACCTAAAGGAATTAAAAAACTTAACTATTTGTTTCTTTTCTTTCTTTTTTGTCTTTGTTATTGTTGTTTTATTTTTCGTGACATGGTTTCTCAGTGTAGCCCTGGCTGTCCTGGAACTTCCTAGACCAGGCTGACCTGAGTGCTGAGATAAAAGGTGTGTGCCACCACCTCCTTCCTGACTTGTTTCTTTTTTCTTCCTTTCTTTTTTTAAACTGAAGGATGTTCTACCTTTTAAGGAGAACATTTTAAAATTAAGGCTGTGAGATACAGGATATGAAATAAATATTAAAAATTTTTATGTTAAATTTTCTTTTCAATATGGTAATGGCAAAACACACAATCCCAGCAAATAATAACATACAGATCCTAGAGCATGTTCAGTGTGAAACTTTAGAGTCACCTGAAATCTGAACTTGTGGCCTTTTGGGGGCTGACTGTATTCAAGAAACAGCAATTCTGTTTGTTGTCTGCTTATATCAGATATTTGCTTTCAACATTTTCTATAAAGAACAAAATAAAACTGGATTAGAATAAAAGTATAAGTGTGTCTTAGTGAGTGTGTTGGGCAGATGCCAGGCTGATGTACATAGTGAGTTCCAGGACACCCTTTCTGTGTTTGTATAGAAATGCTTTGGGTGAAGATGGTTAAAAGTACTTTTAGATGAAAACCAAATATTTTCAGTCTACATTACACCCTAATATAAAGGATTGTTTCAAAAGAGAAACAAAGCAAAGGACAGCACAGACCTTTGTCTATGTCCCAAAATGTACTCTAAAGTTGAAAGTAGGACATGGTTAGGTAACCAGCACTTACCAGAGGACAAGCAAGGATGTTCCTTCCAGAGAATTCTCTGTACTCCAGTTCCCATGATCATCTCCACTTTAGTTCTGTATCTACAAGTGTTGCCTACTGAAGCCTCCTTTGTCTGAGCAGACATTCTCAGGAGATTCTTGTTCTTGCTCCAGGATACAGAATCTTGCAGAAAGACAATTGCCTTCACCTGAGATGATATCTCCTGGAACACTGTCCTGATTGAGACTGCCTCTCGCTGAAGATAATGACTCTTCTTTGGACTTTGAAGGTCTAATGTGTGAAGTTAAACTGGAAAACAAAAGCAAACAACTTGAATTAACACAAGAAAAGTTTACCCTGCACTTCCTGTGCCTTACAGATCTCAATGAGATACTGATACTTTCCATAAAGGCAAATTTTTCCATGAAATCAACCTTTCAAATGAAAAGTCAGCCCTTTATAAATGTCTAACCTAGCCCAGCAGGGGAGGTCCTTGCCTTTAATTCCAGCACTAAGAGGCAGAGGCAGGAGGATAACTGTGAGTTCAAGCCTAGCTTCTGGAGGAACCTCCAGGACAGCCAGGGCTACACAGAGAAACCCTGCTTGAAAATAAATAAATAGATAAATAAACTCTTCCTATCTGTAAGAAACAGTCAATCATTTTCATGAAAAGTCCACTTTTTAAAATGTCTGAATTATCAAGGGAGATACTGCCCTGTTCTGACTCCATGTTGGTTTTGCATAGACAGTTCTCAGTCCTCTAACCCACCCTCCAACATCCACACTTTTGAGATTTCTTTGGCCTTGACCATGGTCCAGATGGAGCCACAAAAATTAAACCAAAATATCAAAGAACTATAGGCAAGAAAATAATTGCCATAACCTTCAGGAGTGAGCATTTTAAGATCACCTTGATCGTTATCTAACTTTCATATAAAATACAATATTTGAGGGTTTTCCCTTTTAAAAAAATCTCTACATACCTCTCTTGGATTCAAAGAGATTTTTCAGAAGCACAAGACTACCTTTATCTGGCCATCAGTAAAAGGACTTAAAACTTTAAGTTGACTTAATTAGCATGGTTGTTAACCATTGCTTTCTAGAATTAATATTAAGTCAATCCTTAAATAAATATTCAACCAGTACAAAAAAGTTCATCCTGTGAATAAAATATCAATATATTAGCCTGGCGTTGGTGGCACACGCCTTTAATCCCAGCACTGGGGAGGCAGAGGCAGGCGGATCTCTGTGAGTTTGAGGCCAGCCTGGTCTACAAGAGCAAGTTCCAGGACATCCCCCAAAGCAATACAGAGAAATCCTGTCTTGAAAAAAAAAAAAAAAAACCAACAACAGCAAAAGAAGATACCAATATATTTAATGTAGAATCAATCCCTAAAATTAAAAAAAGCCAACCTTTAAACAAAAACTTGATCTGTTCATAGAAAGTCAGTTTTTGGATAAAGGTACATTCACTTACAAAAACCCCAACTGCTGTATTGAAGTAGACAGTTCTCATAAAAATCCACCTTTTGTATCACCACTTCAGGTTCATCAATGTGGCTGCCCAAAGAGGACCTGAATAAGGAGAGCACAGATAGACAAGCTGACCCAGAGTGGAAGCTCTTGAAGACAATATGCAAAAAGTAAACTTTCCCCCCAAGACAGGTTTTCTCTGTGTAGCCCTGACTTCCTTGGAACAGGCTGCCTCAAACTCAAGAGATTTGCCTGCTCTGCTGGGACTAAAGACATGCACCATCAGTGCCCAGCATAAGTAAAATTTTGAAATATGACAATATTTTCAGCAAGTAGTCCTTGGAAAACTATATGGCCACAAGCAGAATGCAACTAGACTCCTGTCTGTGTCACCCTACAGGGACACCAGTCCTCATAGATCTATTCTTCCCATGGAATGAAAAGCTCTAAAGCTAGCAGATGAAAAGAAAAGTAGCCTAAACACTCAGGATGCCCTCATGGACAAGCACTTGCTGAGTAGCCCTCCAGCAATAAGGCAAGAGGGATGCTACCCATGGCAAGAGGGATGTCATGATACTGAAAGCCTTAGATCCAGCAAAAGAAAGGATCCAATGCCCACAGAATGACAGAAAGTCTTTGATAGCCTTTCATCCAGAGAGGATTAGAATCTACAATACACAAACAGCCACTTTTATTCACAAGGCTATATGTCTTATATTTTGGTTTAATTCCTCAATTCAGAGTCCCTGGCCCTGAAGGGTTGACTTCATGAAAATGAGGCTGTTTAATTACTGTGTGATCTTGTGGCTGTAGCATAGAGTCAATCCTTTAAATAAATAAATGAATAAATAACCTAACCTTTAAACAAAAACTTGATACATTCCATAAAAACTCAGTGTTTTGGATGATGAGTATTCATTTAGAAAAACCCCACCTCCCTAGTGTTGGGATTAAAGGTATGTCATCGTAAGTGCTGGCATCAAAGTTTGTGAGCTCTGTTTCTCTTTTAGAATGTTTCACTATCATGTAGCCCAGGGTGGCTTTGAACTCATAGAGATCCATCTGCCTCTGTCTCCTGAGTGCTGGGATTAAAGGGGGTGCACCAGCACTGCCTGGCCTCTGTGAGTAACTAGAGTGGCTAGCTTTGCACTCTGATCTTCAGGCAAGCTTTATTTGTTATATCATAATACCTCATCCGTGATTTGAAGGAAAGCAGTTTCTAAGCATCTCACACACACTAGGCCTTAACTCAGCTTCCCATGCTTGCACTGAAATAGAGTGATCTTAACCAAAATGTAATGTTTTCTAAAGTTTGTGAAACTCGATAAAAGCGGGGGAGGGGGAGAGGGCAATCCAAGGAGATGCCAGAAGTCATCATTACAAAACACATTGTTGTAATGGAGCTCCAAAATCACTTTAAGATAAAAACCAATCATTTTTACTGGAAATTTATCCCAAGATAAAGGACTCTTCCCAAAAGGAACAAATGTAAGGGCACAACCAAAAGTTTAACTGTGTCACAAAGGACTTTATAAAATTTAAAACTTAACGGTGGGGTGTGTCTTCTAGGACTTACTCGAGACCAGCATTCAATATCTACACCACAAGAATTACTCAGATTCCTGAATCAGAAACTGGGTCTCCCAGAGATGAGATTCTACTGGCAATTAAATGCTGCAGTTGCCATTTGAAGCTCAGTCTGTTTTTCCAAACTAGTGCCAATTCCCTGCTGGGTGATGAGCCACCCAGCTGGGTAATCAAGGAAGGACTGCCATAGCCTGGCTTGATGGACCAGAAGCCTCTGGGTCAGGATGGAGCCTGGAGTGTGGTTTCGAGTTACATGAAGACCTGGTTCAAGCTGACAAAGTACAAGGATTTTGCTCCCTAGATTGCTGTTGGTCCCACTGTCCAATTTCTATAAACTCCTCCAAGGTTGGCTTCAGTTCAGAAGCTACATTCATCCCCGCTGGAGATCACATGCTCCTGGCTCTGGGCTGCAGAGATGGCTCAGAGGTTAGCATTGGCTGCTCTTCCAGAAGTCCTGAGTTCAATTCCAGCAACCACAAGGTGGCTCACAACCATCTATAATAAGACCTAATAAGTCTTAAAAAAACAAATAAACAAACAAAAAACAACTCCTGGCTCCATGGTACAAAAGGGTGCCCATGTTTCTGACAGCTAGGTAGTGAGAATTAGCAAGGCCACTCAGACAATCTTTGGGTGGGACAGATTTCTGTCTGCAAATGGCCACAGGTTGCTTGTAGGCTGGGCCCAAGATATTTTTCAGTTTTCTTAGACTAGCTGGTTCACTTCCCCTTGCTGAATAAAAGCAGTTTTCGAGTGCTAGGGGTCATCTGAGTCTAGAAAAGCTTTCTAGACTTCTCAGTGTGTTTTCAGCAGGGCACTGGCCTTGGTGGACAGGCTGCTGAGGAACTCTGACCAGTACAAGGCCTGATTCTTCAGGCCCCAGCCCAGTGCTAGGATGCCAGTTCAGCCCACTCTGCAGTAATCTACCAGCCCTCCCCCCTCCTCCACATCTGCTTGGCCCAGGCTTGCCTTCAGTTTCATTTCTGAGCTGTTGAGTGAGTCACCCTTTCCTCTTCCCCCTGCAACATTTGCTTTCAGTTTTTAGCAATGATACAACTGAAACAGTTTTCTCTGAGCTCCTTTGAGGCAGGGCTGGGGATTGGCAAACAAGGACTTGTCAATAACAAGTGGGCCCATTGCTGTGTTAATAGGCAGAGGCAGCAGCGGTTGCAGTGAGCTATGCCTTATCATACCAGAGCTGCTAATCAAGCCCAGCTGTCCTAAACTTTGTAATACAGAAAAACTGAAACAGAAACTGCAGGAAAGGGTCATGTACAACACTGTAGCTATTTACCTCCTCCTGGTATGGTGAGTTGTGTTTGTTCTATGGAGTCCATCACTGCTCTGCTTGGTTGATAGAGCCCTAGCATGCTGATGTCCTGACCTGGGAAAACCTTCAGGCATGGCCTCTACCTTGCTACCCCTGTGTTAGAATTATCATAGGGTGACCTTTTCTTCTTGGGCACCGAATCTTGCAGAGTGCAGTGCAATCCTGGCAGCTTGGCACCTACCTTCTGTCCTGGAAGCAAACAACAGAAACAAAACAAAACAAAAAATCCCACCACTAAATTCGTAAGAGAGGACCCAGTGAAATCACCACGAAGGTTTTCACTCTAGCACACACCTGGAGCAGGAACCTTGTCCTGGTGCCCCACAGCAGTATGTCCATATGTTTATCTTGGGGCACATGTCTAGTTGCTGCAGACCACTCAGGGAGAGAGCCACACTGTTGGAGAATCAGGGTCTTGGTACTCAGGTTGGGACAGATTAGGTGTGACAGACAGACACAAACACAAAAGAGGTTTGCTGTTGCTGCAAAGATCTTTACTTCATCACTGTAACTTATACAAGAAATACAGGAACTTCAGCTTTGGCTTGAGTACAAAATATGTGTATCATAGATATTATTAGCTCTAAGTAAGCGTTAAACTTACAAAAGTACAAAACAGGAAGCAGTTTTAGTCAGAATTATCTCGGTCCCAGACAGTGGTCAAGTTGCTGAGCTGACTATGACTCTGAAAATATGATCTTGCTGAACTTTAAGATTCTTTAGGCCAGTCTACAAATCTCATAAAGCAATCAATAAAATCCTTTTTATTCCCTGTATGTCTTCATACAAAGTCTTCTGATTGATAATACAAATATCTATACATTAGCCATAAAATCTCTCTTATGTCAGCTACAGACATGACACATCAAGGTGATCTTGCTCTTTTTAGTCTCTCCCACCAGCTCAATCTCTCTACCCCCAATGACAACTCAGTGATTAAAGTCTTTATCATAAGCTCTTGTGTATGGCAAAGGTACAGCTATTGTCTTAATAAAAATATGGACCTTTGTTCCTTAGGGGCTGACACCACTTCCCATAAATCTTATAATAAGTTCTGCCTAACTCTTCCTTTATGGAATTCTAAGCTCCCCTAGGCTTTCTGAATCATCTCCTTTTTGAACTACTCTTCTATTCTTCCTAGATATCTGGTAAGACAATTCTGCTTGCTGGAATAAATTCATAACTGGTCTAAAGCCTTTATCTTCTGTCTAAAACATCTCTAATAAAGTTCTAACTAACGGGGAGCTACTAGGAAAAATACTCATATCCTGAGCCATCCTAGCAAGAAACTGTTCTGCTCGGACCATGAGCACAAATGAAACTTCAATGATAGCATTTTATCCAAAAATTGCTGGTGAGGTGCTTTCGGTTCCTAGAACCAAAACATCCAGAGGTACTCAATCTTTCTTCAACCAACACCTGATCATCTGCTGATGCTGACAAAGCCAGACCAGTCATAAGACAATAGACAAAAACAGAAAATAACCCACCACAGACAGTGAGACACAAGAGACCATCTTGTCCTTTTTGGGATCCTGCCAGTGACCTCCAGGAGACCAAGCTACGAAAGGGCACGCCTCAGGTCTGGACATGTTTTTAGCAATACTTGCCTCTTGTCATACAGACTCCACTGGAGTGGGTGTGGCAGTTCCCCATTTTTTGTTTTTAAGCAGATCTCAAAGATATCTCGCTGCACTGTATAAAGGGATGTTATAACCAGTCTAAAAAAACATGGAAAGATTAAGACTGCAAGTACTACCAAAAGTAGCATCACTCCTTTAAAAATAAAATATTGTAGCCAATCTAAAGGATTCAAAGCCCTTAATCTTTTGGACAAAGAAGAAGCTAATTCATCTACATTCCATGTGTCTAAATGTCTCAGACTCATATCTGTGATCTGTTCCTGCAAAAGCTTCATATCATAGGATATATTAGAATCCTTCCACCTAGCAAATGAGTCTTTGTTCTTTCCCAATCTTCTGAAGCATTGTAAGGATAAGGTGTAACACAAATATAATGATAACCAGAATGACACGTAGTAGCCATTCTAGTTTTAATGTTGGCTACATCTTGTCCCATAGCTAGAACCACTTCCTCCAAGGCATTTAATTTTGCTTCTAATTTCTTATCTATAATATGCTGTTCTGACAATGCTACTGAAATATTTCTCTGCATCTCATTTACAAACTGAGCTGTCTGTATTTCCCTAACTAAGGCAGTGGCGGAAACCACAAAGGAGGTCAAAATAGCTATCAAAGCGATAGTCCTAAAAAAAAGAACCACCACAAATCTTTTTGGCCTAATCAAAGAATTTAAGGATTCCAATGTTTGTAAAGCTGAGTTGTCATACCAAGGGTCATTCCCCAAATCAGCTGGAACCATAACATAAGAAGGCCTATTAACAACAATCATAATTGTAAATTTCTTATCTAATGCAGAAGTAACACAATTTGTTAAAATACAAGAATGACAGGATATATAAAAAGATTCCCCTTCTTTGCTAATATTTATCATTTTCTGATATCCAAATAATAATCCATAAGGATATGCAACACAGGCCGAGATAGGAATTGCTGAACTAATTTGTTGTTTTGGCTTCCGCAACAATATCATATTGGCTACGGCAGCCAGTCTAAAAAGATCAGGGTATACAGCAACATAATCTTGATCCTGATTCCTAACTGCCCATGTAGGCTCAACAAAACCAGCTGAAAACCAGTGCTTTAATGGCTCATTTCCTGTAGGTTTGTATCCATTAAATTTATCAGAATTGTTTATTAAATAAGATTGATAATCATGATTTGGAGAAGCTATCAAAAAATCCCAAATCTGTTCAGTAGTTCCTACAGGATAAAACATTGTCCCTGCATGAGGAAATCCACATCGGAGCCAAGTTGGGAACTTATTAGAGTCCCCATCCCAAAACTGATCCCTCTTAAATTCCTGAATGCAAGTTGGAAGTCCTCAAGGCAATGGCTGATCTCTATGAAAAGATTCATTAAAAATTATATACCCTAAAGTTTGGAAATGAAGTTCCCACATAAGTCTCTTACCTTGAGTTGGGTCCCGAGCAACAGCCTTTGAAATAACCTCCCTGTCCGGAGTGTCTGTTAAGAAGGTCCTGTAGTTAACAGGAAGACACCCAGGTTGTGCAACTCCTCTTAAAGCTACGCAGATTGGTGATGAATCTGCTCTCCTTTCATAATTTAAATACACAGAGGCGTTCTTTCTCAGATGGAAATCTGGAGTTCCTCCTGAAGTTCTGAATGATTTGTCATGACATTTATGTAACTCTGATCTCTCCACCCAACCGGATGAATCAGACGGGGCTTTGGCACATAAGCCCCAAAACTTTCCTCTACAACCTCAGCTGGCTTAACAGCCAATATAACTAAATAAGCAGGAAAAACATTAACCGGAGTAAGCTTTGCATGAGATTTTTTCACAACAGTCTTAGCTTCTTTGGTGAGACTCTCCAGCTGTGTCCAAGTTGTCAGTTTCACTTTCCCCTGCTCGCTCTCCGGCTGGAAGGAAAGTCCCTTCAATGTTGTTTGAGTCTTGCTTGCAGGTCCTGCCTTCTCCTCTTCCTCTGTCGTCTTGACAGGCGACAGGCGGGGCTGCAGCTGGGCAGATGAGGTGATCTGGGATCCAGATCCGTGAGTCTGCATCCTGTGGGAAGACACAAGCATAGCCTCGTCCGGAGGCAATTAAGACATCGGGGCCTTTCCAGGTACCCGATAGTAGATCCTTCCAGAAGACCTGAGGATGAACCTTCTGCAATGTCTTCCCCCAATGTCTCCGCATTGGAATTGTTCCTTCTTCTGAGGAATTCAAATGATTAAGTACAAACGGCATGAGAAAGTACATGATGAGAGGAAAGATAGGAATTGGCTTTCTTGAGGCGTTCTATCTGCCCTTTTAGAGTTTGAGGAGTTCTTTCAATCATCGCCTGCCCTTGTGGATTGTAAGGAATACCTGTGATATGCTCAATGCCCCAAGCAGCTAAAAGCTTTTGTAAAGCTTTAGCAACATAAGCAGGAGCATTATCAGTCTTTATCTTTCTGGGAATTCCCAAAGCAGTGAATGCAGCACAAAGATGCTGAATAACATCCCTCACTGCTTCTCCCATTCTGGCTGTGGCAAAGACTACATGAGACAAAGTATCCACCACCACATGAACATAGCTTAACTTCCCAAATTCTGGAACATGAGTCACATTCATTTGCCACAAGGCTAGTGGCTTCAACCCTCTAGGGTTTACTCCCATCTTTGGAGCATGAGTGCTCAGAGGACAAGCTCTGCATTGCTTTACTATTTGTCTAGCTTGTTCTCTAGTCAGATGAAACATCCTCCTAAGAGCTAGGGCATTTTGATGATGCAGCTTATGGCTCTCTAAAGCCTGTTCCACTGCTGGATACACTTGTGTAGAGTTCTGCTTGCCTGTTTCCTTCTGCCAGGGGCCCAGGAGGCCTGTATGTCCTCTTATATGCCCTATGTATATTTTATTTTGTCTCTCTTGTATCAACCTCTGTAGCTTTTGCAGCAATGGTAAAATCAGAGACTTTCCAGACAGCAGGGCTGTCTCTATAGCAGGAAACAGTCCCACTACATATTTTGTAAAGATTAAGTTTAGAAGTATATTTTTCTATAGCTAAAATCACTGCTATAAGCTTTGCCTGTTGTGCCGACACCTGGCTTGACATTTTTACTAAAGGTGGTTCCCCTTCCACATAGACAGTGGACTTTCCATTAGAGGAACCGTCTGTAAAAATATTTTTTTCCTCTTCTATGGGAGTTGTACTAATTATGGAAGGAAAAATATATCTCACTTCTTGCTAAATTCTAATAAAGGATGTTTGGAATAATGGTATAAAATTTCTCCAGCAAACCCTTGCAAAGCAATTGCCCAATCTTCATCTTCTTGTAATAAATAATCAAATTACTTTCTTGTACAGGGAATAACAATAAAATGCATCTCTCTACCAAAAATATCCTTAGACAAATTCCTTCCCTTAATTATAATGCAAGTATGTAAATAAGCATAAGAGGAAATCATTTTTGATTGAACATGAGGAAGATGAATCCATTCTAACACTCCATTTTGCCACAAACATCCTGTTGGGGGTAAATTCTGTTTGCAAAATAATTAATTGCCAAGGAAGTCCATAATTGACTTGTTTTACTTTTGCTAAATTTAACTTTTGTTTAACTAACTGTAAGGCTATCTTGGCTTCAGGGGTTAACTGTTGAGGAGACTTAGGATTGGCATCTCCATGTAAAATGTTAAATAAAGGACTTAATTCTCCTGTAGTTAATTTTAAATAAGGCCTAATCCAATTTATATTTCCTAATAACTTTTGAAAATCATTTAATGTTTTCAAATGATCAACTCTAATTTGTAGCTTCTGAGACATGATGTAATCATAATAAATTAAATTTCCCAAATATGACAAAGGGCAGGTCTTCTGTATTTTTTCAGGGGCTATGATTAAACCACATTCTGTTAAATTTCTAATTAGATCCTCTAATAGACAATAATAGACAACCAGCACCTTCTTTCTTTGGTGTGGCAATTAAAATATCGCCCATATAATGAGTAATGTATGCCTCTGGATTTTGCTTTCTAGTTGGTTGAATAGCCATATCCACATATTTTTGACTTAAGGTTGGACTATTTTTCATTCTTTGTGACAAAACTTTCCAATGAAATCTCCTATAGGGAGGTTTAAATTAACTGAGGGAACTCTAAAGGCTAATCTTTGACAATGTTCAGGATGTAATTTTATAGTAAAGAAACAGTCTTGTAAATCTATTACAATTACTTCATAATCTTGTAGGATAGCTACAGGTGAGGGTAATCCAGGCTGGGCTCCCATATCAATCATAGTAGAATTTACAGTCCTAAGATCTTGTAACAGTCTCCATTCCCCTGATTTTTTCTTTATAACAAAGATTGGAGTATTCCAGGGACTATTAGATTCCTCAATATGCCCCTTCTCTAATTATTCCTTTATGATAGACTCAATGCCCTGTATCTTTTCCTCATTTAGGAGCCATTGATTAAGCCATACAGGCTCATCATTTTTCCATGAGATCTTATCTGCAAAATATTTGCTCTCAATGGCCCCTAAGAAAAATGCTGTGATTCTAAGGAATCAGTTGTTATTAATTTTACCTCCATCTCCTGAATATCTCTTCCCCATAAAGAGAAAGGCAGAGAAGGAATAACATAAGGCTGAACAATGCCATTTTTGCCCTCATATCTCCATTTTAATGAGAGGAGCTCTGTGCAACATTAGATGCCATGCCAAGTCCCATGAGGGAAGAAGAAGTGTTTAGAATAGGCCATGAGCGAGGTCAATCTTTTCCTGCTATGCAGGATCTATCAGCCCATGTATCCAGCATCCCTTCAAAGGGCCTGCCATTAAGAAAAAGTCTTAAAAGGTCTATTTTTGCTTATATCTTCTATCCAGGCCACAACTTCTGATGAGCCAAATTGGCCTTCCCTTCTTTCTTTCTTCATTACTGGGTTTGGCAGCTTTAAATACTGTAAGAGTAATAGCTGAGCTATCCTTTCTCCTTTATAAATTATCACAGTTTCCTGTGTAGCCTTAACCATGACTTTTACTTCCCCCTCAAAATCTGCATCAATCACCCATGGCAAAACCTCAAACCCATACTTAAAGTTTGAGCTTCTGCCATTCAACAGTCCCATACTGGCAGAGGGCAAAGTGCCCCTAACAGAAGTAGAGACCAGTTGAACTCCATCTATTCTAGATAGTATCATATCTTGTCTGGCTGCTAAATCGAGGCCAGCACTCCCTAGAGTTGCTCTTAGCAAGTCATGAATGGTAAATTCTGGGGCTTCTGGGTTGAGCTCACTGTCTACTTTTCCTTAGCCCTGTCTTATGGCAGGGGTGGGGGGGTGCTCCCCTTCTGCTTTTTTTTTTTTTTTTTTTTTTTTTTTTTTGACTGCTCTGGTTGATCTTCAAGTTTCCTCCATTCCTTGTGAAACTTAGATCTACATTCATTCCTCCAGTGCCTCCCCTTCTGACAATGGGGACACATTCCCAGAGGCTGTTTTTGCCCCTTTCTTTTTTTCTTTTGGGCATTTTTTTTTCAGATGCCCTTCCTGTCCACAACTAAAACAGGAGGGTTGACCTTTCCCCCTCCATATGTCTTTTTCACATAGGCGCTATATGGTTGTCCTTTCATGGCTGCAGCATAGGCCATTCCTTGCACTACTGCTGGTGAGGCATCTAAGCATGCTTTAATATAATCCTGTAAGGAACCTGTTTTTCTGATTGGTCTTATCAAATCCTGGCACAGCTGGTTAGCATTTGCCTAAGCCAACTGCTTAAGCAGAAGTTCTGTCCCTTCACTTGGGGGCAGCATTCTATGGATAGCTTCCTCCAATCTGGAGATGAAAGACTCATAGGTCTCCTCATTGGCTTGTCTGATGCCTGATAAAGTGGTGCCCTTGGTACCCAGAAGAGGAATAGCTCTCCAAGCTAAAACTGCATTGGTAGTGATTTCTTTTAATACTGCTTTAGGTATAGATACTTGTGCATGGGATGCCATAAGGCTCCTGTGCCTAGGAGCATATCCATAGTAAGCTTAGGCTCCTTCCTTTTATTAGTGGTAGGAGTCAATCTGTTGAGGGTTGCTTTAGATCTTTCTTCATACTCTGTTCTCCAAAGCACATAGTCTCCTGGAGACAATGTAGCCTTAGCAGTCTCCTGCCAATAATGTGGTGTTAGCCATTGACTAGCAACCATATCTACAATCTGAATAGCATAGGGGGCTGACGGGCCCATAGACTTTACTGCAGACTGCAATTCTTTTAAAGTCTTTAAGTGTATGGGTTCCCATTCTGGCTCCTCATCCTCACTATCTACACCATGCACTACTGGAAAAGCAAATGCTAAATCCCCTTCTTTCCGAGCCTGAGCCACAGTTCCCTGAAAAACAAGCAGAGGTAGGGATCATTTCCTTGGCTTTGGCTTTGCCTTAATAGTGAGGGCCTTGGCATTTACATCAGTCATGATGATGATCCCTGTCCTAACTGGGAACATATTGGGCAGCCTCTTCTTCCCAGTCCCATCTTTCCTCTTCATCTAATTCTTCATCTAAGTCATTTCCCTCTTTCTGTTAATGGGTGCCATAGCTAGTTGACCTCAATGGAGCAATGAGTGTTGCTTCACAATTATCCATAGAGGCCGTTTCTGCTACTAAGAATTCCAAATCTGTCTTTTCTGTCAGTAGTTCTCTAATTTGCAACCACAGCGGATAAGCCTGTCTTGGAATTGACTCCTCCCCATGCTCCACAACATAATTCTTCATTCCCTTTCCTACCTTTTTCCAGTCCTCTAATGTAAGGCTACCGTTCTCTGGGAACCAAGGCGACACCTTTAATATGAAATCATAAAACTCAGTGGCGGTTGAATCTGAAACCTTCAACCCATGCTCTGCCAGCATATGCCTTAGGATTGACAAGAACATATTCCCACCTTTTGAGCTGGATTGCCCCATGATGAAGATTAGTCGCCCTTAACCAGCCTACCTTCACTGGCAGGACTGCAGATCCCTTGGCAAGAGTCTATCCACCTCCTGGGAAAATTAGAAAGAAAAGAGAAAAAGAATTACCTGTCCAAGGGTCCCTGTTCGGGTGCCACCTGCCACACTCAGGGAGAGAACTACACTGTTGGAGAATCAGGGTCTTGGTACTCAGGTTGGGACAGATTAGGTGTGACAGACAGACACAAACACAAAAGAGGTTTGCTGCTGCTGCAAAGATCTTTACTTCATCACTGTAACTTATACAAGAAATACAGGAACTTCAGCTTTGGCTTGAGTACAAAATATGTGTATCATAGATATTATTAGCTCTAAGCAAGCGTTAAACTTACAAAAGTACAAAACAGGAAGCAGTTTTAGTCAGAATTATCTTGGTCCCAGACAGTGGTCAAGTAGCTGAGCTGACTATGACTCTGAAAATATGATCTTGCTGAACTTTAAGATTCTTTAGGCCAGTCTACAAATCTCATAAAGCAATCAATAAAATCCTTTTTATTCCCTGTATGTCTTCATACAAAGTCTTCTGATTGATAATACAAATATCTATACATTAGCCATAAAATCTCTCTTATGTCAGCTACAGACATGACACATCAAGGTGATCTTGCTCTTTTTAGTCTCTCCCACCAGCTCAATCTCTCTACCCCCAATGACAACTCAGTGATTAAAGTCTTTATCATAAGCTCTTGTGTATGGCAAAGGTACAGCTATTGTCTTAATAAAAATATGGACCTTTGTTCCTTAGGGGCTGACACCACTTCCCATAAATCTTATAATAAGTTCTGCCTAACTCTTCCTTTATGGAATTCTAAGCTCCCCTAGGCTTTCTGAATCATCTCCTTTTTGAACTACTCTTCTATTCTTCCTAGATATCTGGTAAGACAATTCTGCTTGCTGGAATAAATTCATAACTGGTCTAAAGCCTTTATCTTCTGTCTAAAACATCTCTAATAAAGTTCTAACTAACGGGGAGCTACTAGGAAAAATACTCATATCCTGAGCCATCCTAGCAAGAAACTGTTCTGTTCGGACCATGAGCACAAATGAAACTTCAATGATAGCATTTTATCCAAAAATTGCTGGTGAGGTGCTTTCCTAGAACCAAAACATCCAGAGGTA